CCCCCCATGCATGCTACACCATGAATGGGCTGCAGACATTTTCTCTAAACTTTGAGCTCCAGTTGCCCCAACCAACATCTCCCCCAAAGCAGCTGGAACCGTTCCTTAAAGTGACATTAAAGGCAAAAATATTTTCCCTCCCCTCTCCCCAATGTTAGTGTCAGCACTTACCTTAAATTATGTCTCTTAATCCGATCTTCCTCTTCCTTCCTGATGTTCACATCTGTCCCTCCAGCGCTGCGGCGGCTCTCCGATCCAGCGCCGACTCCTCTGTCCTTGCCGGCACTTCTGATCCCGCGGTGTCTGCATGCGGGTGCACGCCGCCCATAGACTTACCTTGCGTTTCTCCTCGTCTCCCGGCCGAAAATGTGATCTGCGCATGCCCCCGCCACAAGATGCTTTGCGCCCGCCCGAGAATTGTCACATTATCGGACGGCAGTGCGCAGCGGAGACCCGGGGAAGTTTTGACCTCTTTTAAAGCGGGTTTTTTTAACACTTTTTGCATCTATCTCCTGCCTGCTCCCCTCATATATATGCACAAAAATGTGAGGCTTTAATTTCTGCAGAAGAGACGTCACCGATAATTGTCCATCGTTATCACTCGTTAGATGAGGGGATATGACAGGGGTACAGGTAACATACAGGGGTACAGGTAACATACAGGGGTACAGGTAACATACAGGGGTACGGGTAACATACAGGGGTACAGGTAACATACAGGGGTACAGGTAACATACAGGGGTACAGGTAACATACAGGGGTACAGGTAACATACAGTGGTACAGGTAACATACAGGGGTACAGGTAACATACAGGGGTACAGGTAACATACAGGGGTACAGGTAATATACAGGGGTACAGGTAATATACAGGGGTACAGGTAACATACAGTGGTACAGGTAACATACAGGGGTACAGGTAACATACAGGGGTACAGGTAACATACAGGGGTACAGGTACTGCTAAGAGAAAAATCACACATGGACTCACACACACACACACAATAGGTTGGACTTGATGGACTAATGTCTTTTTTCAACCTCCAATACTATGTAACTATGATATTGTGATGGCAGAGATTTGTTCTGGGGTGAGGATGTTCCTCTGGACTCGCAGTAGAACCTCCTCTGGGGCAGATATGGGGCAGATTTTGCTCAGTAACACTATGTTGTGTATTTTCAGGCTCATGAGCGCTCTGAAAGCTCCGAAGTGGCCTTCGTCACCCAACTTGTCAAGAAATTGATGATCGTCATCGCTCGTCCTGCCCGCCTCCTGGAGTGTCTGGTAAGGATTGCGTGTCCATGGATGATTCATTCTCAGGTATACGAGAAATGATTCTGAGGCCGGGGGGGGGGGGGGGGGGGGGCCC